TCTACTCTAAGTCCACAACCAAACAAGGAACAGGAAGTAGAGCAATAGTCATAGATTTTGAGTCTATAATATCTTTAATTATGTATAACTTTAGTGTATGCACTCAGTCATTATAGACCTACTAATAGGGGTCTTTAGTTTTCACATAAGTTGGTTATAGTAGCACAAAATACTCCTATAGTATTTTAAATGTTTGACTTATGTTCTTAATGTTTCTTGGTAGGTTGAGTTGGTAAGTTTTAGACTTGTTGCAACACCACAACCATTCCCGGGCATATGCTAATCACTTCTGGGTTAGACATAGTTGATCAGGCTATGTCATTCCCAGACCTGACCATACATCCCCAAGCCTACTTGTGCCATTCAACAATCATTACTTTTGTTTTGTCCTAGTATGATGTTGACCTTAGTATGTATGCATGTATGTATACTTTTAACACGAAACTATTTATTTCTAAAAGTATAGTCTTTTAAAAATGTTTAATCAGAGACTTTAGTCCCAATGCATTTATAGTTTGTATATCTTATGTGGTTCGATATACTTAGTTCACTGTAAACAATGCTCTGATACCAATCTGTCACACCCCCAAACCAAGGATGGCGGAAACGTCCGGGGGTGGAGGACTTCATGTAAAGTATCACAACAACGAGTATAATAGTGCTCAAAGTAAATACAACCATCATAAATATAATTGAAAAGGTTACACCATAGTATATGTTTACATGTTTCAAAATCAATTACATTATGATGACAAAATAAACTGTTTGACGATTTAACGTCCCATCCTCAAAGTGCTGATGTTTTCCCGTTTCACAGATTTCCTGAGAATACAAGTAGTTTTGAAAAGTTTCAACAATTAAGTTGGTGAGTTCATAAGAGTTTTGTTTGAGGAAGAAACCGTTTTCCTTGTAAAAGCGATAGAGTATGATTTCCAGAAAATCCAATATTTTCTTAGCTAAATGTGAAATGAATGCTCCTATGTTATGCGATAATGAACCCTAGAAAGAACCATAGATTCCTTCTATAATTACTCAGCGTATATAAGTTATATAAAATTTAAGTTAAATAAACCGTTGAATATAATGGGTCTGCCCTAGGTCCACAACCAAACAAGGAACAGAAGATAAGGCATGCCCACCAATTCTAAGTCGATTTCGATTCAATTTTTATATAACTCTAACATGTAAACTTAGCAATTATAGCTGAAAACTAACAATTCTAACGATATGTAGTTTTAACATCATAAAACCTTTTTTGTGTAAAACCGGTACTTTGTATTTGTACCCCTTTTTGTATGAAAACCTGGTACTTTGTATTTGTACCCCTTTTTGTATGAATCCGGTACTTTGTATTTATACCCCTTTTTGTATGAGAAGCTGGTACGTTGTATTTGTACCCCTTTTTTTGTATAAATCCGGTACTTTGTATTTGTACCCCTTTTTGTATGAAAACCTGGTACTTTGTATTTGTACCCCTTTTTGTATGAATCCGGTACTTTGTATTTGTACCCCTTTTTGTATAAAACCTTTTGTAATGAGTTCGTAATGTAAATGAACATAAACTATACCTATTATAATTTATCAAAATATTTGTAATGTGTATGCAACCTAACTATACCTATTAAAGTTTAGCATGGTTGCTTGAGGTGTATAAGAACCCTTTTCTATGTAAGTCGAATGTATAGCAAAAATATAACTATGTTTATGATGCTTTGATTTGTACTAATGGTAATGATGGAGGATTCTTACAATTCAGTGAATATTTTCTGTTATATAATTATACCACAACAAGAAACACATGTAAAATATGAAATCCCCAAAGATTAACACTTTGCTCAACAAGTTACAAAGTGTGATGAAAGTTATAAGCTGTTACTAGTTTTTGACCATTCTACACTGTTTTAGAAAGATCATAGAAAAATCATACGAAGTCGAAAACTGAATCCGTAAATTCTGAGAGTTCACAAAATGTGTCTAGTTTGTTCATAATTTTTATTATGATTTTTAGAAGTCTTTAACTTGTGTTACATTGTTCATATTCACAGACTGGTCCGAATTTGTTTCTGAAATGATAGACAGTTTTGTAAAAATCGCCATAAATCGTAGAAAAATCGTATGGAAATGTGCAAGTAGTCATTTTAAAGGTATGAACCTGAACGATTTGCATATTAAACAGTTTTGAAAGATATTAAGTTTAAGATAGTCAAAATAGTCCGTGAATAAGACTCAACTTTTCTGATGATAGCTGTTGTTTGAGTTTAGTTAAGTTTTTGGTGTTTTAACTTGTATTCCCCCCTAAAACTTGAAGAAAACATGAAAATGTAGGGGGTATGAACTCACATTGAGTGATTTCAGTAGATGGATGATGAAGAAAAGAAGTGTTCAACTCAAGAACACTTAGAAGATTGCTTGAAGAGATTTCACATACTTGGAGAGATTTGACATACAGAGAGAGATTTGGGAGAGATTTCACATACTTGGAGAGATTTCTCATTCAGAGAGAGATTTGGGAGAGATTTCACATACTTGGAGAGATTTCTCATACAGAGAGAGATTTGGGAGAGATTTCACATACTTGGAGAGATTTCTCATTCAGAGAGAGATTTGGGAGAGATTTCACATACTTGGAGAGATTTCTCATACAGAGAGAGATTTGGGAGAGATTTCACATACTTGGAGAGATTTGGGAGAGATTTGACATACTTGGAGAGATTTCTCATACAGAGAGAGATCTGGGAGAGATTTCACATACTTGGAGAGATTTGTGAGAGATTTCACATTCTTGGAGAGATTTCTCATACAGAGAGAGATCTGGGAGAGATTTCACATACTTGGAGAGATTTGGGAGAGATTTCACATTCTTGGAGAGATTTGAGGTAGAGAGAGATAGAGTGAAAGAGATTGCGAGAGACTTCTTTTGTGACCTTTTTGAGTGTTTGACTTTGTAACTCAAGGTTTGTAAACCTCGTTAAGTCTTGTTATGATTGTTATATGCCCCCGAGGGTTAAGGAATAATGTTTTATCGAGTAGATTCATCACTTGCCCTAATTAGGGTTTAGAATTTCCGAACACGTGAAAACTCTAAGTGATACTTTGTATTAAGATTGTGAGTGGTACAATAAGAATCATAATGGAAACCCTAATATACAAGAGCTAGATGAGTTGACCGGTTTGACTTGTTGACTTTAGTTGACTTTGACTTGGCCAAAAATTGACGGTTGTCACAGAAACCACACTTTGCTCGTTATTCAGAGTCTATACTTGCAATTGTAGTTGACGACTTATCCAAGTGGGAGACTGTTGAAATAAGTTGTCTAAGGTGTTAACTAAATTGGTATATTCTTATGAATAAAAGCAAAATCCTTTTTAGGTTTCCAACAGATCCAGATATAGCTAGTAATGATGAAAGAAAAGAGAGGAAATAATTTGTTAATTTATTATATTATTAATAAATTAATCAAAAATTGATTAGAATTAATTTAAAAATAATCATAATTAACTGGAAATTAATTTTGGGCTAATTATATTAATTAGAGGTACAAGGGTTGAACTGCAATTGCTTAAAAGTTAAGCAAATGAGAGATTTTAGAACCCTCCTTGCTTGGACGGTTTTAGGAGCTCCTCCAAGGGTTTTGGAAGCCTCCATATACAGATAAGGAAACTGATTTAAATTACATTAAAATATATTATTTTAATATTCAAATTAGATTTATCCAAAATATCTAACAACTATAAATAAACCTCTAGGGTTAGAATTTTCGATCATCCGTCCCTTTGGGAAGCCTATGACAAATTCTTCGTCCCCCCTGCCTCTCTAAATCGTTTTTCTAGTTTCTACGGTTTTGGTGTGAGTCATTAGAGACAATCATAATTTTGATGGTATTTTTCTGATGAGCAACTGAGGATTAAAGAGTGGTGCATACGATTGTAACACTAAAGGTATGTAATTCTACTTGTAAATTTCGATTACACTGGGGTTAATGATAATTTCAATATTATATTGCTATAATGCGTAAAGACATAGATCTTTAGGTTGCATGAGCCCATACTTAGATTTTATGATAATTTCATTGTGCAAATATGTTAGATGTAACCTCGAAAACCCATCAAAAATCTCTTGAGAAAACGGTTCGGAGATTCATTTTTTCGGGATCATTAACTAAAATTTTCAAAAAAAAAAAATCATCTTTCGTGAGACTATAAAGATGAATCATCGAGGAGTTCGTTTGGTCAGTTTTTTGTAACCCATGTTATTTTGGTATCATTTAATGATTATTTATTTATTTCACCAAAAAACATGCAAATGGTTTATTTCTTACGTTTCTCATGAAAGTTTTATTTTATAACTATATATATATATATATATATATATATATATATATATTATATATATATATATATATATATATATGAAAGATTGTGGAACGTTGGAATAAAAGAATTAACAGTTATAATAAGAACAAAGACGTTTTCAATTTTATATATATATATATATATATATATATATATATATATATATATATATATATATATATATATATATAGGCTTATGTTATTTTGTTTTTACTAACTATTGTGTGTCAGAATGCACAGATCTGGACCACCAGATGAATAGAATCAACAGTCATGATCTGAGGGTCTATGATATTACAATAGGGTAGCATGTATCATATAATCACACAAATTTCAGCAAAACGGTATTTTGGTCAATTAACCTACTTTAAAAAAGGAAATTTTCGGATTTTAAGGGATCATTAATTCCCTTATTTTTAAAAAATCTGAATTTTTTAAATTAATTCTAATTAAATTTTAATATTATTTTTAATAATAACCGACTTTATTCTATCAGAATAACAAAAAGTCAACAATAAACTAGTAAATAAATTTGCAGTTTTATTCTGGCAGAATATTGTTTAATTTAAGATACTTTTTATATTAAACATGCTTAAATAATTTAAGATACTTTTTATATTAAACATGCTTAAAAAATTGTACCACAATCAAAATTGTAAAACATAAGCAACAAATATCAAATTAATATATTCTTTTTATGATTACAACATAGTACGCAATAGTCCACAATCATTTACGAGATTCGGTTTGTAACTATGAAAAAAAAATGTATCCGAGTCCAAATTTTGCAAGGGTCATGGAGCTATGAAAGCATGTTCTTGTGTTAGCCTCTACCCTTCGAACTTATGTATCTCATTCATAGGAGCTCTTGAAACCAATCGGAATTATCGATCTTCATGGTTTGATTATGTTTAATTATGTAATTCAAAATTTCATCCAACGATCTTGAAATTATGATAGGGTTGAATATTTTGCAGCTGCTTTCTGAGCCTGCATAGAAGAATAGATAAAGTTTATATCAAATAATAGTAATAATACTTAGATACAAATATTTGGGATCTATTTTATCATTTTACACAAAATATATATGTAATTTAGGTTTAAGGGATCAATGAGAAAAGAAAAGATAGTACATCACTTAAAATTAAGATATTGATCTATAGGTTATTAGATTATTATTATGTGAATTTAAACGGTCAAAAACCAAATTTACCTCTTTCTCCCAATCACAACGAATTGTCAATAACCCTAATATGATCGTCTGTAACGCGGTTCCACCAAAAATCATTCCTCCCCATATTCCCTATTTTTCGAACACAAGATCATTAATTTATTTCAAAAAAAAAATCTTCATAAATTTCAAAAAAGGAATACTACAATGTTTATGGAGAAAAAAAAAGAGTTAACCCATTATCCATACCTCGACTCCAAGATGAAAAACCAAACCCAAGACAACTCCAAGAGGTACACCAACCAAATAGTAGGAGCCCAAATTAATGTAAGCAACCCATGATTGCCATCCGGACCCCACCGCGACCCCTTGTAACAAGTAGACTCGATAGATAATAATATTTGTACACATTGTCAAACTAATAACTCAAAAAACTACAGTAGGGTAGATGAAATTGCATGATTATGTGTTTATGGTAATCCAATTAGATAATATATTAAAAGTTTACCGGATATAACGGGTTGAATGCTGTTAAGAAGGATCGTGAAAGCTAAGAGCCAAGCCATGGTATCAACTGCTTCAAGAACAACGGTGCTCGATGAGAAAATTAGTGCAAACTTGTCATGAAACGTCACTATCAATGCACAAAATACGAGCCCAATGACAGACGAATGCAGTATTGCTACAATGGTTGCGTATTTTGCCCCGTGTCCATTACCAGCACCGAGTTCATTGGACACTCTTACTCTGTAGTAAAACATGAATAATAATGTCACTTTCAAAACAGTATATGTTACTAATAAATTTTTAATCTATAAACATTTTATTTAACAGTCAAAATAAGTACAGTTTGACTCGATATACACCATAGATATGATTGAGATTGACAACACTATTTATAAAACGATTGTTAGGTTGTCATGGAGGAAGAATGGTTGTTTTCAATAAAGAACAATTTGTACCCAATCATGATAACAATGTTACGCCAAATGCCATAAATTATAGTCTCTATTGATCACATGGTTGCATGTATAAAATTGATGATACTTTGTACGATCGCTTAAATTATGTTTTATGAAATGCTTGTTGCTTAATTTTAATCCAAAATACATAAACGGTAAACAAATTCATAAGAAAACTATTAAAATGTTTTTTCCACTTTGAAAATGCAGAAGAGTGTTCATACCCGATCCCGGCAAAAAAGGCTAGGGGAATCATCATTTCCCAACCATTGATGTTCATGCTGCAAATATCGTCACAAGCATAAAAAAGGTATCTTAGTAATTTAAATTGAAATTGTATATTTTAGTACAAATATTTTACAATCATAAGAGTTAATACCAAATTGACACTGCATCCACGGCAATGGTCGCATTCTTTAAAAATGCAGTCATTAGTATCAATATTCGATAGTACCAATTTTCCAAACTGCATAGACATATCAAGTGTTATTAATCCACAATCAATTTATATATGAGACTGCCATCCGGTATCACATGTATCACATGCCTAGCCATGTCATCTGATATTGGATGATTAAAACATTTATGTTCATACATATGATAACGGATGATTATAACCTAAAACAAGGTTAGAATTTTGGATAATTGCAAATTTGGGAAGAATTATACCAAAGCATGACACCGGATGCAACCGAAAGCTTTACAAATTCCCACAAACCCGAAAATGCTTCCATCGAGAAACCGTTCCATGTCAAAGGACACCCACCATAAACAGTATACGCAAACAACCCAACAAAATTCAACCACCAAGAAATGTCCAATGCCACAACCGTCCCCACAATTCCAAACTCGAAAACCGAAGTAAATAGCCAAGTAATCAAAACATGGATTGCAAGAATCACCAAAGAAACCCACGCCAAAACCGGAGTTTTTAGCTGGCTTTGCAAGAACCGTTGTACCGGGAATAGGAATGCAAATGAAAAATGTTGTGGGATAAGCCATATTGCGGCTTTCCCTGATAGTTCAGCTACCTCGTCCGATTGACCTAATAATTTTAAGATCGGGGTGGCATATATGTATAGTGGCAGTGTCACGATACAACAAAACATTAAAACAATCCATGATCTTTGCATATATATCCCGATCATGTTGTATCTTTTTGCCCCGAATGCTTGCCCACATAGCGTCTCCAACGCACTCGCCATCCCAAGCTATCATAAATGTACAAAATGTTTACCGCATAAGATTGGTTTCTAATATAGGGGGGTGTTTGGATAAATAGTTTTTAGCTTATTAGCTTATTGCTTATTTGCTTATTGCGGTGGGAATAAACATTTTTTTTAAATGTGTTTGGATTAGCTTATTGCGGTGGGAATAAGCAATAAACAATAAGCAATTAAGTGTTTGGCAAAATAAAACAGTTTATATGAATAAAATGACCAATAAGCAATAAGCAATAAACAATAAGCATTCCCTCCATTGCTTATTAAAATCAGTTTATTTGGCTTATTCCTACCGCAATAAACTGATTTTTAAAGACTCCTATCCAAACACTTAAATTTGCTTATTGCGGTGGGATTAAGCAATAAACAATAACCAACCTATTTTTTCCCTATCCAAACACCCTAGGTACAAATAGAATTAATCGGACCAGTCTATCGGTCCAAAGACTATTCTCAATGTATTAATATTCGTACCATAAAGGTAAAAATAAAAAAACAATGACTACCTTTTTTTTTTGGTGGGACAATATAACTAAGCTGTAAAAGTCACCCAGTGTCGGTTTCAATTATCAAGTCCAAAGAAAGAGAATAGGTGGATGCTATGAACTACTTCTTTTCTTCAACATAAAGTGATTTCAAACAAAAAAATCACATAAGTTATATAATTGTTATTTAACTTTTAGAAATAATTTTCTCTTTAAATCCCTTTTTTTTTATGATTTTAATGTAAACAAATAATAAGAATTGATTTTTTTTAAGTTTATATCATTAAAGAGACCGATTTATCTATATGAATCATATATTTTGTTAAAATTTTCTAATTACAAGTTACATATTTGGTTTTATAAAAAAAACACCCATTAAACATATTTTGTAAAAATATATAATAAAAATATCATTTTAAAGCATAAATTTTTGTACATAAGAACAATTTTTATTTATACACAGTAATTTATAATTTAGAACCTTATACACTACTATATTTTAAAACATAAATAATTATACACAAATCATCTTCCAATTTTAAACTTGCATGAACATTGACAAAAAAATATGAGAATTGAAAAATAGCATATAATTTTGCATTTATCAAGTATACACATACGCCACAGATCACAGGAATTGTTATCTTTCCAAACTTTACCTTCAACAAACGTATATTCTTTCTATTTTTAGGTGTATAATGTTATATGTTCCTCCTACGTGGCAGTTTTAGAGGTCGACCATCGTCCACTGTACATATTGCAATATGCCCCCAAAGTATAGAGAAATGACAAAAAGAACATATTTATCAAGAGAGGATGTCATCTGATAAGAATTTACTGGCGTGCAATAAAACAATATTTATTAACCAAAGATGGATTACATAATACTTACAATTAGGCCGAAATTGAAGCCGACGATGACGCCGGTGGAGATGGTGATGGCAGCGAGTTCCAGGTCACCAAGGTGGCCGGCGAAGGCTTGGGTGACGACGTTCATGGTAAAGGTGGCGACACGGCTGAAGATGGATGGACCGACTATGTACCAGAGCTTCTTTGATTCAATCCAAAATCTTGATTTAGCGTCTCCTCCCGCCGACCGTTGTAATAAGGCATGGTTCAGTCCTTCCCCGCCGCCGGTATTCTTCATAGCCTACGCTTTTTGAGGCAAGAAATTGGAAATTAGTGGAAGAGGAAAATGACGATATATATTGGAGGCGGAAATTGTTTATTTGCACACGTGTCCTTTTATATCATTTGTGGCTATAGTCTATAGCGAGATATGTATAGAAAGTAAGTTTATAACATGTTTATATAAATTGTTAGGAAATTCGAGTGTGCACTTTAAAAATGTAACAGGAGTGTATTAATGCAATCAGGATCGATATTGGATGTTGGGATTAAGTTCTGGATGGGTGTTGGTTGATGAGCTCCAAAACTTGAAATCATCGGGAAATTCAACGATAGCGGTACGTAATTTGGGATAAGTCGATGTGTCTAAAATCTTAAAAGAATGAGAGGCGAGGAGTTGAATCATTCCACTTGAATGTATGCTTCTTATTAGACTGTTAGTAGATTGTTTTTGTAACCAGCAAATGAATATATTAAAAGTACCCCCACCCATCTAGCAAGGAACTAGAAGAGCAAGGAGAGCAAACAAATTACATTCAAGAAACATGAAACGGGTTAATAGCCCAATCACCCCATATATAGTTACAGCTTCTCCTTCTGCGTTTTATCCAACTAAAAACATGGGACTTAATGTTGTTTGCCACCTTGGTTGGGGATAATCAAAGATCCTTGAATAATCGATCACATCTCGCCTTCCAAATCCACGATAAGGTTCCATAGCATATGTTGATGAAGTTGTTTCTCCCTTTCTTGGAATTATACCAAGACGCTGCATTATGAATTTCTAGAATTGAAGTTACCTGTATATCACACCCTTTAAGGACCCATTCCCACACTGTTTTTGCGAATGGACAATTAAGTAGAATATGTTCGGTTGTCTCCTCCTCATTCAAGCAATAACTGCACACCGATTCACTATTGAATAATCCCCGCTTTTTTAGTTCAACTGAGGTTGGGATCCGTCCCTGGTTTGCTTGCCATATGAAGCAAAGTACCTTGATAGGAATTTCACACACTCATTCAATTTTTCCACAAGTGATAGGATGTAGAGGCTTATCAATCATCTTCCTTAGGGCTTGCACACGAAATACCCCATCAGGGGTTTAAGGACATCTCCACTGATCATCTGCCACGCTTGGCTGAAAACTACCAAGTAAGGATGATATATTTGTAACGCCCTGTTTCGAATCGCTTTCCTAATTCGGGACTGTTGCCTGAAGATAGGTTGTTATAAGGCTTAGGGCCTTTGGAAAAGAGAGATCTAGACCCATTTAGGTACGGATAATGTAATTGAGGTGATCCGAGAGTTTGGGTTGTGCCTTGGAGCCAAGGGGTATATCGGTAAAGTGGCAGTTCGAGGACTTAATGAATTTTGGATTTTCGTTCGGAAGGTTTTGAGGTGAGGATAAGTTGATAGATGTGTAGAGCTTCTCGCCACCTTTCTGTGGATATAAAGAACGTCAAAAATGGAGTTGCAACGAAGAGGTTATGGCCGTTTGAAGTTGGAGTAGTTCGGTTGAGTGATCGTTGACTTGTTGACCAAGCTCATTTAAGGCTCACGACGTGAGCATGAAGTGCTCACGACGTGAGGAGCGCCTGATGCACCAAAACCCTAATTTTCGGGTATTTAAAGGTATGAGATGATTAGGGTTGCTTCTCCTTGGCCTCTTTCACTCCCAAGACCTCTGAAAACCCTAATCTCAACCCCCATTGAAGTCCTTGATCATTCTTGGTGCTATTCATGAGTTTTTGGGGTATTTGAAGCTCATTGAGGAAGAAGAAGATCATTGTGGTGCATTTGTTGGCATCTTGGCTTCATCATCAGCTAGTTATCCAGCTTTTAGACCTTTGTAAGTCCTCAAGCTTATGCCTTTCCTTTCGTTGCTTACTAGATCTAAGTTTCCATGCAATTTATGGCTTGTAATGTTGGCTAACATGCGTGGGATCCATAAAGTTGGCAACTTTATGGATCATGGTGGTATCTTAAGTCTTATAAGTCTTAGATCTGGATTTTGGTCATGGATTTGGACTCCAAGCTTGAGTCTTGGACCTTTTTCCTTCATTTTGACCTAAGTAGGTGTTTAAGTCATGTATTAGACATATGTAACTGAAAAGCTTCGATTTTTATGGTGCTTGGGGCTAAAGAAGACCCTCTAGACTGTCCCATGTTAAAGCTTAATGGATTAGGAGCTTAATGCTCATTTTTGGTCAGATCTGGACTCACGGCGTGAGAGCGTGTTCAAGGAAGTTTTCTGGGCCAAAGTCACGACCTCACGACGTGAGCATCACCTGTGCAAGTTTTGGGCTCTTTGATTGTTAGCTAGCTTGGTATTGGACCTATCCTTTGGTTTGGGCTCATAATGGACTTAGGATTTTAGAATAATGGATTTCTGGTTGGGCTTGCCTTGCTGGGCTTGCCCTAATGGGCCTTGGATGGTGAATTGGACCTTAGTAGGCCCAATGTAGTAGGCCTTGATTGGGCCCAATGGGCTTGGACCTTTGGGCCATCGGAAAAACATTGGTTCAAAAAAGTAAATGGGCATTAGGGAAAGGCCCACGTAAGGGTTTGGGCCCAATTTGGAAAATTAGGCCATTGATGGGTTTTTATGGATTTGATAGTTTTTGGCCTTGGTTGTGAATCTTGTTGGGCCAGGGATGAAATGGTCATTTCACCCCAAGAATGGATTATGGATCATGGTTTGGGACCCAATTGCTAATTGGGTGATATTTTGGTCTTGATAGCTCGAGGAGTTGCCTGGACAACAGCTAAGGATTTCGTGCAGTGAGTTTCAGCATTCGAGGTGAGTTACCTTCCCGGTATAAGTGGGTCGAAGGAACAATTGCCGACCCACTAGTAGTTGTTTAGAGTAGAGATGATTGTCTTTGTGATAATTGTCTGGTGTGCCACTATCTGTTGAGATTTATGTGCTTGTATGCTATGTTATTACGTGGTAGTGGTAGGGGTGAGGTAGACCCCGTAACCGGTCGAAAGAGACCGAAGGGGTAGGCGAGTACCCAGATATGCTAGGCAGTATGTGATTCATGTGCTTATATGCTAGGATATTATGTGGTAGTGGTAGGGGTGAAATAGACCACGTAACTGGTTGAAAGAGACCGAAGGGGTAGACCAACACCCAAATATGCTAGGTAGTTACCGGTTAAAAGAGACCGAAGGGGTAGGCCAGCACCGAGATATGCTAGGCAGTTACCGGTTAAAATAGGCCGAAGGGGTAGGCCAACACCCAGATATGCTAGGCCGATATGTTTATTGTATGGTATATGGTATGATGGGGGGAACTCACTAAGCTTTATGCTTACGGTTTTCAGTTTTGGTTTCAGGTACTTCCTCTTCAAAAGGAAAGGAGTCGGCATGATCGCAGCGCATCACACTATGATTTCCGCACATGAGATCTTTGGGAGTTCTACTCTGATGTTTTTTTCTTATGACATGTTTTGGTTATTGAGATATTGGTTTTTGATTATGATATGGGATGATACTATTGATGTTTTCAAACTACTGATTTTATAATTTCGTAATTAAAACTTAAATTTTTGGTCATGAATTTAGGATGTTACAAGTTAGTATCAGAGTCTTGGTTTGAGGGATTTGGACACACCTTTAGGGGTGTCTCGACTCAAATCGAGGGTTTGAGAGATTTTTACAAGAAAAATATTTTTTGTAAAATTAAGATTAAGGGTTTTTATAAAGAACAAGGAGTGTGATGCGTGCAATCGGTCGACCTCAAGTAAGTTTTCCCCAAGATACCAATACATGTTATATTATGATATGAAGTGTGAATATGTGAAGTGCATGCTAGATAAGGGCTAAGGATCTACAAAGGATGCCTTGTATGCCTACTGTATGTGCTTTTTTGAACTGCATGCTAGTATTGATTAGTTAGTGATATGATGACATGTTTAGGATATGCCTGGTTTGGTTACTCAATGCTCGAATGCTGCTTGCTTTTTGCTTTTATGAGTTCTAGTTATCTTTAATTAACTAGTAAACGAATACGTTAAGTTACATATTATGAGAACTAAAAAAATTTTAGAAGGTTAGGTCTGACCTTATTTCGCAGCTCTCGTCTGAGTCCAACCGTTGTAGGGTAGCACCTTTCATTCGAAGAATTATCTGGTCTTAGTAATATGTAATGGTATTCACATGCTAGTTAGGGAGAGATAGGAAAGACTTATTATGCAGCTGATAGCAGAGAGTGGGTCGGAGATTAACCTAGGGTAAGCCTAGGATGAGATTAGTGTTGGGAGCCGTATTAGTGAAGGGACTTGGTGGAGTCAAGGCAATTCTTGAGGAAAGTAGGGACAGATGTGGAAAGTAGTACGGGCCCGTACTACTGAAAGCAGAGGATCCGTACTCGATTCAAGAAGGGCTGCGATAAGACCAGGAAACTTGTAGTACGTGTGTGATCCCTCGATATTGGATTAGTATTCAGATGGTTGTTATGGTATGTTCCAGCATGGTGACGCTACGTGATGGGCCAGTTGGCGGTTTTGGTACCGACAAGGGATCAAGCTCGAACTCTGGAGCCGGACAACTCGATGATCAGATGAGGGAGATTATTGCAGCTAAGATTACGCGCAGTTTCATTGACCAGACTCTTGTGATCTTCAGTACGGTTAAAGAGGGAATTTTGGAGATCCTTGATGAGAGGATGAGCGCATTTCGCTTTGAGGTGATGGATATGATGGGGACGCGCGCGATGACGTTTCGGGAGTTCCGAGCTTGTGGAGCTCCAGACTATCATGGGATTATGGACCCCATTATCAGTAGGAGGTGGTTAGCGGATATAGCTAACGCGTTGAGGACGCGTTTCTGCCCCTGGGAGGCGAATGCTTCCTGCCTGTTGAAGTGACGGGCACGTGATTGGTGGGAAGAGATTGGTAATGAGTTGGGTGATGATGCGGTTGATGTTGTGTCATGGGATGATTTCTCGATCGGGTTCTAGCAGAGTTTGCTCCGGCAATTGAGGTGCAACAGTTGGCGCGAGAGTTTTTGGGTCTCCGCCAGACTACTGAGACTGTGGCATAGGTCACTGCC